ATAACCTCCGCGAGTAGCGAGAACGACTAATCCTTCTAGGCTTCGATAACTATATTAAAGTATTAGCAAAGTAGTACTATACGCTTTAGCTATATATTAACAATATATAGGTAAAGGGCTATAACTATATCGAAAAGAGCGGCCTAGAAACGACGCGTTATATATACTGCTTTCGCAAATAACTATACTAGAAGAGTAATAGAACGAAGGGCCGCGGCGTAAAGAGGGATTATAAGAAGATAGAGCGCGCTTAGTATTATACTATAACGATAAAGGTTATCGCTATTTATAGTCCGAGTAACGTTATACTAGACGAGGATAGTAATAAGGAAGGCAAAGGACCTAGCAGTAGCGGCGGTTAGGAGATTATTATATATCGGATATAGTATATAAATCGCGACAACTATAGCGATTACTACTAACTAGATAACTTCGACGTATTCCGTTAATATAGCGCTCTCTTAACTGCCGCCGGTCGGTAGGTATATTAAGGCTATATACTAAGTACTATATAGAAGGCGCTAAAGGCAGAGTACGACCTAGTCGCGTATAAGCTGTTTAACACCGCTAGGGGTCGATAGATATAGAAATACGATATCTATAACTTAGGTCGCGCCTTCCGGAAGGTATATAGGAATAGCAAACTTAGCGGCGCGTCGCTAGTATAGCAATAGCAGAAGGAAGACTTATTTAAGTAGTATCGAGAAGGTAAGTATATTATTTCTTATTACTATCTAAAGTTAAAGAAAGCGTAGTAGGCCGACGCTTCCCGCCGATCCGGACTCCGATTAACTAATTAATCAATATAGAGCTCGTCTAACTTAGCTTCTATACCGAGGAAAATATCAGACTCGATTGCCTACAGATAAAAGCCCGAAAAGCTAGAAGTTTAAAGAATCTCGAAATTTTAAAGTTCTTCGCTTAGAGCGGAAGGGCCGTAGAGCCTTAGCTTTAAGCTAATTAAGAATTTTAGAAGCTACGGCAATACCTCGGTCCGGCCTTTTAGCGTATCTTAGTAGGCCGAACTCTATACTACAGATCTAATGCGCTTCCTTCATTTTAATTTTTAGTTTTCTATTATAACAATTACTAATATACTAGTATAGAAGGGCTCTTTTGCGACAATATATTAGTAATACGCGAGACTAACGGTAAAACTATCTATAGTATTATTTAGGCGACCTAAACCGGTATAGAACTACTAAATTCCTATACTACGATCGTATTTATAAACGCGACGTATAAGACTAATTATCTTAGTTAGTACCTTTATACTATTATAGTAAAGGACAAATACGGTATTTCGCGTACTATTACGTATATACTTACTCCTACTAATAATAGCGATATTATATCGACCTTCTTATATAAGATAAGCGCGTAGATAGATAGAATTTAGGTACCTAAATTTATATTAATAGACGACTTAGCGGCGGAGCGACGCGTAGTCTATATAGTATTTCGAAACCGTATAATATACCTTTTTTGCTATATTTACGTTTAACGTACGGTCGCTCGTCGTTTTAGCGGTAAGACTTATAGCGAGACGCGGCCGATACCTTCGAGCTACTATTGTTTATCGCTACTCTCTCGAAGGCGCGAAATAGTCCCTCTCTACCGCTATCGATAGTTTACCTATAAACGTAGATTACGCGTTAAATAAGAACTATCTTAAGTAAGAGATAGGTAAGGATATCCGCTTTTAGGCCTTCTACTTTCGCTATAGCGGCGTACTTATAATCGTATAATAAAACATAACTATAAATATAAATAAGAGCTTCTATACGTACCTTAAAATAGATAGTAATAAGGCGCCGATAGTAGCGGACTTTATACTTAAAGGCGTAGCGATTTAGGTTCTTTACGAGATAACGATTACGGATATCCGATCGGACGTTACTACGTACCGCTAGGGCGCGAATATATATCCTCTTACCTATAGCGACGACGACGAGCTTCGAATATATCTTCTACGCCTTCCGTAGCCTATTTAGCGTAAGGTTAGCGCCGAAATTAGTCGAGCGCTAGACAAGGAGGCATTCTAAGACCTAAAGCCGCTAAGTAAGTACCGCGCCTTCCTTACCTACGACTATAAATTCTTTCGCTACTATTATATACTATACGCTTACCTCTAGTACTATTATATTACTCTTCTTTATACTATTATTAAAGATACGTACTAGTAGTACTAGATTAGTATATTTAAGGGCTACGCGCTCGAGGTCTACGAGCTAGAAGATACGCCTTACTAATAAGGCGTAGATACGACTAGCGCGGTACCTTACGCGCCTACCTATTAACTTAATATACGCGAGACGCTTATAGAAGCGTACGAGCTAATCTATAAGTTAGAGTATATATATATATATATAACAAAGAAGGCCTCGAAGAAGATAACGAGAAGCGTACGTAGATAATCTCGAAGATACTATTAGTCTTCTACGAGTCTAGTAACGATATTAGGCGCGAGTTTATATAGTTAGTACTAACGTACTTTAAGAATAGCAACCCTTCTACTAATATAACGCTATTATAGCCGCTAAAGCTATTATAAATACTACTTCTAGGTAACGTACTATCGCGTTATTATAATATCTCGAAGGCGCTACCGATAGACGTAATAGCGACTAAGAAGCGGAAGGGTAAGAATAAGGGTTAGAGCGTAGAAATAGCGAAGCTAAAGAGGTTAAAGAAATAAATAGAGTAATAATAGATACTCGTACGAATATTAGCGGCGCTAGTTTAACTAAGTATTAGTAAAGAAGCGCTATAGGCAGTTCTAGGCGGTACTAACGCGTTCTCTACGTATTATCCTTCTTATCCTAGCGCGTAGTTAGCGGTAGTAACTAATAGCTATTATATACCTCTACCGATACTACTAGCGCTAAATAGATAGTAATACCTACCTCTAAGCGCGATATAGGTCTATAATAGTATACTTTATATACTGCTACCCTTAAATATATATTACCGTTATTAAAGTAGCTATAATCGCTACTAATAATACCTCGCTTTTTGCTATACTACTATTTTACTAATAAACTTTAGCTTTATTTTAGTAATATAATTAGTATCTATTAGTAGAGATTATAGAGTCGTTAAAATAGTGCAAACCTTACTAAATTCGCTATTAAATGCTCTACTTTACCTTCTTACTATCGATACTTAGTATATAAGTAGAAATCGTACTACTACTACTACCCTTTTACCGTCGACCTAGTAATAGCGACGCGCGCCGACGACGAGATTACGTTTTCTATAGTTACGTATACTACGGAGCGGACTTCTATATCTCACCGAGTCCGGTGCCGTAGCCCGAGCCTATTCTTGCTAGAAACTATATACGGACCTATCTCGAGACTAGACGAGAATGTTAGCGATTCCTACCTTTATATTCTTACCTGCGTTTTATTATTAGACAATTTGCCTTTGCGGAATATAGCGGTCCGCGTCCCGTATATAGACTACTCCGCAGCGGGCTTAGATAAAAACTATGCGGAGCTAAGCAAATTTTTCTACTAATTAGGGCAGGGAATGTAGGAATCGCTATTCTCGTCTAGGCCGTTTCTATCGGGATTTCGACTTCCTATATTAAACATTTATATAGGAGAATCGCAAAACCCTAGTTTTAATACTAGAACGACTATTTCCTATAGTAAAAATTTCTCTCCGCGGCGGGAATACCTCTCTCCGTATTACTATCTTTTTCCCGAAGTTTCCTAGGTACGAAATCGGGTATAAACATATCGTCGTCGTCGTAGCGCCTACGTCGCGATATACGCTAGGTAGATGCGACTATATTGTCGCGCATTTCTATTGCGACTATACCCTCCGCGGCTTTCTAGCCTACTTCCGTAGGACTATCTCTATCCTCCGCTACGGATAGATATATATCTAGTCGCTTTCCTTCTAGTCTATCTACCTCCTCCGATCTTTCTAGTATTCTATCTTATAAGTATCCGGGTAACGGGTCTACCGAAGAGGAGGACCTAGCGGATCGCCTATAACTAGAAGTAGATAGCATTATAGACGGTAGCAGCGTTAGTAGCAGCGATAACGAGTCGACCCGCTACGTAACTCGCTAGCCCCGCGCTCGTCGCGATAAAAGACAGCGCTACAAAGAAGTAATACGTAAGATACGGGAAAACAACCTTACTATAGGGAAGGTCGTACGGTACTAGGCTAGTAAACTACGGAGTAAGTCCTATATATATCGCGTCGGCTAGCTCTCTATTATATTAAATGCGGAGCTACGTAAATCGAAGCAGGTTAAGTTATCTAGTAGTAAGAATAGTAATATTATTCGTAAACTCGATTACCTAATTAGAAAGAGCTTATATAGGAAATAGCGGAGGACTCTTCGATCCGCTACGGAGGTATCCGAGGCTATAGTAGGCGACTAGGCCGCTACGCTACTCGAACCTATTAATAGATTCGATAATCAATTCTCCGTCTAGTAGTTTAAGGATGCATATAAGGTTATCCGAGATATTGCTCTAGCGTAGCATTAATTTGCCCGTAGCGTATTAGTTAGGTAGCGCAATAAAGAGCCGGATAATCTCGATATACGAATATTTACCCTTACTACCTTTATCCTCTATACTCGCTCTCGGAACAAATCTAATTGGTTTGCAAAGGCATTCGGTCGGTACCTCCTATTAAATAGCGTAAAGCGGAGGGCATTAGATATCCTATCGGGGATTAGTTTAATCGCTGCGTATATAGCACTATACCGTAAGGAGAAGCTTTCTAGGAGCGAGCAGAAGGTAGTTATTTAATCGTATTATAGTTAACTCGTGCTTATTCTATATAGGAAAGACTCGTCCGGTTAGCGTATAATATTATATAGTACGTAGTCTACGACAATATTAATTTCTAGGATACGGTTCGGGATTAGACTGTATCTAATTAGTCGGTTATGCGCAATCTTACTACGGCGCTACTAGTGCGCTTTACTCCGTATATTCGCTATCCCGATACTAGCCTACGTATTAACGATTTCAAGGCGGATACGCGACTAGACGCTGCGGATATCTGCAATGCCCCTACGCTTAGAGAAGATAAATAGTCTCGGAAATTGTCGATGTATTATATATACACAGCGATTATAAGTATCTTCGAAAATAAGCTCGCAACCGTAGTCGAGGACCCTCGGGTTAAGTCGATTGCGTAGTAGCTAGGACTGTATCCGCTACGGGCCTCTAAAACCGAATTCTACCCGCTTAGTGCGATTTACTATAGCGAGAGTACTATCGATAGGAACGCCGCGGTATAAGAGGACATTATACTATATAAGCTGCGCCTTAACCTAGTCGTAGACTTCCTTATACGGTTATGGCTTTTCTGCGGAGATTAATAGTCGGTATAGCGTATACGGAGCAACAAAGGTAAAAATGCTAAAAGTGTAAGGCTATTCGAGCAGCGGGATTAGATAATGCCCGTTGCGGGACTCTTCTATACCGCTATAAACCTCTATTATATACTAGTTCGCCTTTTCTAGAGTGTTAGTTAGGATGCTAGGTCGGAATATAGCCTTTTCTAGGACAAGTAGGCATTTAGTATAAAAGGATTAACCGAGAAAAAACCAAAATACTAGATACTACGTCCCGTTGCGCTTTATAGGTACTCCGCAAGGATTATCGCCTTATTCGTTAAGCAGCTATACTATAGCGAATATTTCCCTACGGATTTACCTCCTAATTTTAGTAAGCTAAGGGCGGTTGTGCCTACTATAGCAGGTCTTACTACGGATAAATATCTTTAGTTCTTAGCAGCTATATATAATAGCTACTTGCGGCCTTTAGCATAGCTAGAAAGAGAATAGGAACGGGTATATAGTATACCTAGGACAAAGCTACTCTTACCGTAGCAGATGCGCCGGACTCTGCTACGGTTAGGGCCTATCCCGTAGGCATAGCCTAGAATCCGCGATCCTGCCTAGACTATACTTTATCGGCGACTCTATATAACCGAGCTCTAGTTAACTCTCCGATATGCGACTCGGAATATAGATATTAGTTATATTAAACGTCTCTTACCGTAGCTCGCAGTAGTATTTTTCGGAGCTAGATAATATAACTACGGGCGCGAGATACTGTATCTAATTTAGCTACTTAAGGGCGTATCTCTACATCTCCGTAGCGCGATTCTAGCCGGCGGCGTCGTAAATATAATAGGCAGGCCCGGGAAAGGGATCGCGGTAGACGAATTGCTCGAACTAATTAATTTGCGGTATAAAAATAATATACGAAATTTCAAGAATTCGACGTATAATATAGTAGAAACATTTGATCGTGTTTTATACACTACTTTCGCTATAATGCAAGTAAATAATGCTTTCGAGGACGAATTCGGGATCCGGAATACTACTAATTATTCCTATAAGGATACAACTTACGAAATTTAGGGGCTCTCCGCTCGACTCTTTACTATATACCGTAGCGTAGGCGATCGGTGCTATAGCGCAGATAATCCTCCTATTATACCTAACCCGTACTAAGCTAGTATTAATAAAATCTATAAGGAAGTGCAGGATTTCAATACAAAATATCTACGCAAAGGCGTATCTATAGCCGTAGCACCCGATACAGATTTAGATACTTACGATGCGGGACTAGATACGGATTAAAATACAATATTTGAAAATGTCGAAGATGTAATACTAGATATATTAGACCTACTAACAGTTTAATTATATAACGTCTATTTTAGGAAGTTTTACGCGAAGTTCTAATGTTTACTTCGACTTTAGCGGTTGTTTTTTTTACTATACTACTATTATACTCCCGAATCCGTACTCTATATCCGAAAACTCGAACGAACTAGAAGGACGGATATTCGAATAAGAGCTGCGGAAGTACTTTAGGCCGCCGCGGATAAGAGAGTAGTAGCAGAATACCTTCTGTAATTGGATTTATAGTATCTAATAGCTCTACTCGGCTCTCGTATCGCATTATATAACAAGAACAATACTAATACTATTCGAGAAATACTATCTATTCTATCGTACCGATACTAAAAGAACTAGAGCCGGTAAAATATTAGAGAAGAAGCAACCTATAGAAGTAAAGAAAGTCCGTAGCGGGCTAGCCCTCGCCCGTATCTACTCTATATTCTTGCTATAATACTACTCGCGAGCTACCTTAGGACTAATAGTACGCAAGTAACGGCGCACTTCTGCCTTAACCTCTTCGTCGATAACAATATTAGCTAGTAGGAGCGATAGGTAGAGAGTACGGCTCTTAGATAGGCCGTTATAACTAGCGTAGTAGACCGAGCGGCCGTTAGTATATATCGTGCCCTATGCCTACCCGCTATTCGTATCGCGCTCCTTATTTAGGCCCTTAAGGAGCTCCTTAAGGACGTCGCCGGATCCGAGGCGGAACTTCTCGATAATACTACGGAGTTTGTATACGTACTCGCGCTACTTCTTTTCCTATACCTTCGGGTCCTTCTCGGCCAATCTACGTAGCGTTTCTAAGATATTAAAGGCACGATTAAAGATAACTTTATTAAATTAGAAGCTCCTACCTATTCGCTCCTAGATAGCCTGTCTAGTCGACTACTATAGTAGCTAGTCGCAGGTCCGCTTCGCTTGCCCGCTATAGCACCGATTATATATCTACTATCGCGCACCTATACCGTCCTTGCTATATATAGTCTTAGCTTGTCTCGGTTGTATAGCGCCGTCGTAGATCTCCTTTAAGCAGCGACTATAGTTATATAGACCTATAAGTAGTAGGCGGCCTTCGAATCGAGAGGGTATCGATAGCGTACGTTAGGAGAGTGCTATATTCGATATCGGTAGCGATATAATAGACGTATTAGACCTACCGGAGAACGGTATAGATTGCTACGGAGTCCTAGTCTAATCCTACGGAGTTCGTATACTACCGCTACTACCGCCGTACTACTCGCTACTACTACCGCTACTACCTAGTAGTACGATCCGATTCTTTTCCTTCTATATACGCGCCCTAGCTAGGGCAGTATTTGCCCTATCCTTAGATGCGGCCTTTTCTATAGCTTCTTATCGGAAGATATTATCTTATAGCTACCGCGTAGGGTCTCGACTGCGATACGCTATATCGCGTAGGTTTTGCGCCTGCTACTCTAATAGAATCCGCTTACGAGGATCGGCGCCTAGAAAGACTAGCCGCTACGGAGTGCTACCTGCCCGCTACGGAGTATTGTTAGACATACTCGTATTCCCGCCTAGAGTAGTAGCATTACTAGGAGTAGTAGACCGGTCCGGTATAGTACCGCCTATAATAATACTACTACTAGGGCTTATTTGCTAGATAGTCGTACTATTGTCCGAAGGCGAGATCGAGGCGCTTCTTATTACTTACGTTATAGATTCTTATATATTATCGAAGACATTAGCGCTAGAACTAGATTCGCTAGAAACATAGCGCGCCCCTCTTATAACAGCCTCGTAGCAGAGTTAATAGGTTCCGCCGCGGGTTAGACCTACGCCGAATCGAGGCAGCAGTACCGGGCCTAATATTAGTACTAAGCCTAGTATTAGTGCTAGGCCTAAGTATAGGCTAAAGATTAGTATTCGATCGCGCGTAGCATAATCGACGAGGCGGCCTCTATTATACTAGTTATTCTACGTTTCGAAAGGGACGCGCCGGTTATCTTCTTCGTATATAGCGCCGCGGAGATCGATATAGCCTGCCTCGAAATTCTCGTTTATACGCGCGCGTAGGTCCTAGTCCGTCTCGTCTAGCTAGCGTATACTTGCCTCTATATCGTTAATCTTATACTATAGTAGAAAGATCTAACTCGGCTCTAGTAGAGTAGATAACGCCGTAAGGCGACGCGTATACTCCGCGTAGCCTCCTAGATTCGAGAACTTAGATAAGGTATCGCTACTAGGAGTAGGTCCTCGAAATTAAAGACGGCGACTACTACCGCGGCTATAAGTTAGGAGATAGGGAGTATTGCCGCCGCGGCTTAGAGTACTACCGCCGCGAGGAGTACTACCGCCGTAGGGAGCACTACCGCTACGAGGAGTACCGCCGCCGCGAGGAGTACCGCCGCCGCGAGAAGTACCGCCGCCGCGAGGAGCACCGCCGCCGCTATTACTGCCTAATATATCGTACGACTTAGAGGTCTTAAATGTAATTAGAGATTCGTTAATAGGAAGCTTAGAGGTCTTGTTTAGAGGTAGTAGAGGGAGGCGGATCTATCGACGCGGACAAAGAGGGCACCGCTACGGGCAAGACTTAATAGTCTTATTTAGAAAGTCTTAATTAGAAGTAGTCGAAAGTAGTAGAAGGTAGTAATCGCTATATATATATAGAAGAAGGAGAAGGAGAAGAAGTCGAAGAAGCGTCCTTTTAAATATAGCTACTATGCGTACGGATAGCGTATAAAGTAAAGTTCGGAATAAACGCGTTATATACGTTATACGTATAATAGTAGAACAAGGCATATACGGCGGAGGTTAGGCTATACGTAGCGGAAATAAAGCTATATATAACTAGAAATAAGACGACTAAAGAAGGCGCGATCTAAGTCTTCTATACCGGAGTAAATAAAGTTCTACTCTAAAACTAGAGCTAGAGCTAGATCTAATACCTTAAAATACTATCTTACCCGTTACGGGACATTCGTATTCCGTAGCGGGCGACTAGACAGCGACGTAGTATATTAGTATACCCTACTAAAATAGGACTATTTATAGATTAGTATCTTTAGCTCGGGAGGCTCCTTACGACGACGTTTTTTCGATAGTGTTCCTATATCGGAAGTAGATTTAGGTATATTAGGTCGCCTACGCTTCGATCTAGCGGCCCTCGTAGGTAATAGCTCTTCCGTAGCGGAGAGGGCTAGGTCCGTATCTAGTAGGAACTCTAATACGTACCTAGAGTCGAAGCTCGCTACTTCTAGTTACTACTGCCCCGTTAGGCCCGACACTAGATATATAGTAGCATCCTATATACTCGAAGGACTCCCTTACAAAGATCGATACCTATTAATTACTATAGATCTAGTAGGTACGCTACTATCTCCGCCGTAGGATTAATTAGAGCCGCTACTAGCCTATTCTCTAACCTCGAGTACACTCTTTATTAGCGCTATTTTCCGCAAATTAGTTATACTACCGGTTTCCGGTGCTCTCCTCTACTAAATTCGGCGTCCTTAACTAGCGACAGCTAACGCCGCTATATTTATATTATTCTCCTACGTAGACTATAGATACGCTCGGCGCTAGTCGTCTAGTATCTCTATAAGTAACGTATCTTCGGCTTCCTTCGCGGCGCTCGCTACCTTAGCCGTAGCGGCCTTCGCTACCTACGCCGCCTTATACTCTGTCTATTTTAAGACTATATCTTCTTTAATATACCGTATAAACTAGACGAGGAGATCGAGAAGAGTAACGGTTTCGACACCGCTAGATTCGTTACTATCTCCGCCGCTAGAATCGGCTACTCCGCTACTCCCGAAAGTAATCGTCTTATCGCGGTACTCCTATACGTCGAGTATATGCCTAATCCGATGTTTTGTCCTTCTCCTAACTACTAGCTAATCTAACTTACTTCTAAGTATATCGCTATCGAAGGTATCCTAGTCTATACTCGAATAATCCTAGTAGATCCGACAAAGGCTATATGTAAGCTGCTTATCTGTTAGTGCATTCTGTAGCATTCCAAATCCACGTTCCCCCGCTACGCGATCCTCGAGAACTGTAATATACTACTCCGTTAACCGCGCAAATGCGAAACTAGGCCTCGAATTAGGTACTAGTCGGGGAAGGCTATTCTACCTATCCGGCGGTATAGGCAGTTTACTCCGTACATTATAGTTATACCGATTGTAGTAGACTTCACTTAATACGGATACCTTCGGGTCTAAGTACTTATCCTCGCTAAGCTTATCGTCCTATACTTTGCAAATATACGGCGTATTCTATATATTAAGCAGATCCCCCGGGACTACTACGCGGCGGCTCGCTTTAGCATTTAACTAATAGGCACCGCGTATGCGAGGCGCGCGTAAAGCTATAGGCGTAGCGGAATTGCCGTCCTTAGTATCGGTATTCTTATCTTCTCGATTACTATTAAGCGAGACATCGACGTTAAGTATTAAGTATAATCCTTCCCGCTACGTCTAGAACTTGCTCTTACGGGCGACGCGAGGTCCGCTACGGACCTTGCTACCCTCTACCGGCTAATCCCTAAGCCTGTTTTTTGTGTTCCTTATCTACGCTAGCTAGAATATAAATACCTCGCTACGAAGATTACTCGGAACTATATTCCGACCGGTACGCCCGAGACGCTAGCGAAGATTTAGGTAGTTATACTCTAATATAAGACCCTACTAGATAACGATTTGTACTATACGGATGTTAATACCTACGCTAAGGGCGGTAGTAGCAATTATAATGCGGATAGTGCTATCCGCTACGCTAAACTTACGAAACCGTAGGTCCTAATCGTATATAGGCATAGCGGATGTATAGAATTAGACAATTCTAAGAACGTTTAGTATAGGATTAGACCTATTTCCCTAATAATACTAGTTTTCTCGATATAGGTCCTTAGTCCGAAGTACTAGCTAGGCTCGAACGCGATTTATAAGCGCGATTACGTCCGGGCGACTATCGATAAAGATAATAGTCTTTAGTATCTCCGCTAGCGTAGCCCGTTGCTCCGCTACGGACTAGGCTTCGCCCGTATTAGCTAGCGTAGCAGTAGACAAATTCGAGCCTATAGCGGGTAGAGGCGAGCCCGCGGGGCTTACGGCCTTTTCGATTACAAAATATAACTAGCTATAGACCGACTTCGTATTTTTATCTAACTCTTTAAAGATATACGTATAGTTAACGCGATCGATACTAGTCCGTAGTACTATAGAATAATATAGCTCGTACCCGACCGGTCTAAACCCGCTATAATTCAATATATAGGCTTAGGTTATAGCATCTAGGGTTCTAGTATAGCTAAACTATATATAGTCCTAGCGGAGAAGCTACCTAAGCTGCGCGACTATAAGGAATTCCTCGCGGAAGCTAGCCTATTTCGAGAGAAGATAAATTTCATCGAATACGACTAGCCCGATACGTAAGGAAAGATTCGGATCCTTTAGGGTATCCTTAAAGTCGTCGGATACGGCCTGCTCCGGGCCTAGAATAATATAATCGTACTAGCCCGCCCTGATTTTAGTAAACAAATCTAGATCCCGCCGCTTAGCCTTACTCGTAACTAGTACGGGATTGACGTATTCCCCTACGATCTTCTTTAAGTCCGCTTCTTGCTCCGCCCCGAGCCGAGTAAGAGGTACTAACTAAATAGCAGTCTATCTAGTAAGTATAGTAAAAGCCTAGAAGATTAGGCTCTTACCTAAACTAGTCTTTGCGACAAATAGGACATCCTATCGCTAGTAAATTAAGGCCCGTAGTATAGTAACCTAGATCCGATACGGCTTTTTCTTAGGCCGCTATTTAGATAGTTTATATAATCGATTTAATATCTACCTTATTCTAGCTTCGATAATATCGAATTAGAGGTCGACTAAATCGGTATAGTCGACGGTATAAACTATCGCGCGAATAGATTTAAGAGTATAGTTATAGATTCGATTAACTATAAATCGAATAATCTCCCGTAGATCGGTATATACGACCCTCGTAGAAAGCTCTACGGGAATACTCTATAGCGTAGCGGACTTCTAAAGCTTGCCTAGCTAGAAACTATTCTAGATTCTCCGAGCTAATTTTCCCGATTTAGCTCTTATAAATTGCCCTCTAGTCGCGGCCCTTCTCTAACCCGTAACGCGTAGAGCCTACCCTACTCGCGGCGTTAAAACCGGCTCGAGCATTACGGTATTCTAAACGCATTTCTTACTAACTTAGAGCTACGATACCTAGCCGATAATATTAGGCGGGAGGACTACGAGCGCTAGACGGGATAGTATCGGGGGTAGATAAGAGTTACGGGAGCTTCTTCGTAGTATTATATTTATCTGCCGCGGATATTATTTCGATCGTTATAGAGTTAGTTTATCGATCTACGGTCGTAGTAGGGTAGACGCGTCTAGCTTTAATATAGTAAGCGATATTCGATTTTCGCGTATATATAGATTTTCCCCGGCGAGTAGTAGATCTAAGTTCTCTAGATTTTCGGGGCAGACAGTTTTCGTAACTACGTAGGGCTTTACTATAGCGGATTTTGCGATTTCCGATATATAATAGCACTATAGCTAATAGTATCTACCTACTACTACGATTACCTACACACGCGTACTAAAACCCGATAGAAACGGATTAGACTAGCAACAAAGGGTGTTATATAGTCTATATAGGAGGTTATCTAACTAGTATAGGGGTTAGAAAGTTCACTTGCGGGTTTAGAAAAGTCTGCTACGGAACACGTAATTCTATGTCACATGCACGAACACCCTTTGTTACTGGTCTAAGTGGAGATAGTGCACGGACGCTCTTACGGGACTTTAGATGGACTCCTCTCAAGAACAAGAACGAACGGAACTTTGAAACATCGGAATGCAGGTCTACCGCTCGGCTCCGGGAGAGAGTCAGGCCACCACCGACGACAGCGAATTCCAACCTCCTGTTGCCGTTTCGAAACCGTCCGGCGGGCTTTGGTTCTAACGTCAATGACGAGGCTCAGATCACTGTCTCCGTCTCCGTTCATGTGCTGCTGTAGCATCAAGACTGCCCGCCCACCCGGAGATGTCCCGCGCCTAATAAAGCAATATAGTCGGTCGCTATTCCACAAGATGAAGAAGTGCTGTAGCTGCTCAACGAAGTACCGGCAGCCTGACTGCCGACTGCCACGTCCTGAAACTGGGAATTATACTTGCACGCATACAAGGTTTATCCCATTGCAAGACGTTGGCCTCGCCGAACGTGAAGCCGTGGGGTCTGTCGCAGACGCATTGCTGCTGCAACGTGGAACAATCGATCGCCATGTTGGACTCCCATCGCTGGCAGTGCTGGTCGCTGTGCTCCTGGTCCTCCCGGCTTACGCATTCATGCTTGCTCAACGATAAATGCCTCCTGGTCAGACAGAGTCTCTTGAGGATCCTCGCACCAACTGCTCGGCGCTGCCAGTAGTGTCACCTCGCATGCCGTTGCTTATCAACTGATTGTTTCTCCTCTTTATGCTCGAATGGGAAGGGTCTCTCGCGAGCACGCCGCGCATCAGGTCCCTACTGACTGCTTGTGAAGGCTGACGGCATTCCGAAGCCCAACATGAATTACTCTAACATGATAGAGGAAAAAGCGCTCAAAGTACGCATGGATGCCTAGAGGTGAAGCGGAGATCTGCATGCTGACGACTGCTAGAAAACATTCATAATTGCGACACTGGTTTCAACGATCGTTGGCACTTTCACGGCATCAATTGCATTGCACGACAAGATCAAGGAAAAGCAGGAGAAGGCTGCGAATGCGAAGAAGCAGCAACAGGGTGTAGATGACAAGCAGGATAAGGGCCTCGAGGAGCTAAAAGAGCGATTGGGAGAGCTCGAGAATAAGGCCGATAAAGGGAAGGAAGTATCAGTCAAGGACAAAAAGGCTATGTGGTCAACGTCGAGCTCACGATCAAGCTCGAGAAGCAGGTCGAGGGCAAGCAGCCGGCGCAGCAGGGCTCGCAGTCGAGGTCCTCGACAGGACAATCCAATGGAGGACGACGATTTTGCGCAAGCCACTGGAAGATCTAAAGCCATGTTGGAGGAGACATACGAGCAGAATGTTGGCCAACTCGGGCAAAACTTTGCGCAAGGCGATTGTAGGTTTCCTGCACGGTATCAAAGCAATGCGCACGCACACTGACATGTCCGTAGTGGTCACCGAGAATGCACTGCAGAAGCAAGTCATTGATCTGCAGCAGGTCGTGATCAGTGTATTGCAAGGCGCAGTCTCCGATAGTCGCGCACTGACCGAAGACGACATGCGACAGATTATCATGGCGCAAGATAAAGCTCGCGACGGATCAATTTCAGCCTTGAATGCACAGCGAGACCGTCTCCTCGCCGAACAGCAGCGGAAAGAGCAAGGCGACAAAACGTGGGATTCGCTGGCGCCGGCAACACTTCCTACTGCGTCTGAACGGCATGAGGCCATGCGAGCGCTGCCAGCTGTAGAAGCTGCACCACCCAAACCATGGGAACGACAGTCTGCCGACCGCAGGAACGTGCGTGCCCGCGAGCCTGTCCCTGCAAAATTTGCAAGAAGAGATCCATATCGGTCCGCACCAGGCAATGCCAGAGAAGTGTTCCAGGATCCCTTTGCTCCAAAGCCGCCACGAAAGGCCCCGAAAAATCAATATGGAGATCCCTTGGCGGCGACGGACAAGAGCAGAGAGAAGTATTCTGATCCGCTCGCGACGCCGCCCGAAAGCAAACGGAAGGGCTCGTGTCCGGACCCATTTGCCCCGCCTCCTGACAAGAAGAAAGGCGACAAGCATGCGGACCCATCTACTGCCGCCGCTACCGTGGCAGGCGTGGCAACTGCTGCTGCTACAGTAACGGCAACGAACAAGACGATCGGCCGCAGGGACGAGCCTCGCAAAAGTCAATCGGTGCGTGGCGCACCACATGAGCTTCCTGGCCGAGCAGCATTGCATACAGGCACTCCATCTCGCATTCTGCCTGACGAACCCGAATGGAGGCCTCCACCGTCTCCGATGGGGAGGGGTGCTCCAGATGACGCCAGAAGCCGCGCACCTTCTCGTGCGCAGTCCGTCCGAGCGGCACCACCAGCATTGAGCAAGTGGACGCCTCCACCGAAGTCTCGCAGAAATTCTCTCGCCCCGGCCGACAAGCTGCCAGCCAAGGCAGGATGGGAGCACGATGGCCCGCACAAAGCCAACTCTGATCCGGTCAAATCAGTCCGCCCTACGTCTGTCGCACTTCCCGGGCCGCCGGCGTCGCCGACCAGACCAACCGCTGTCCAGTCGCCCCCTCTCTCGCAGCGTTCCGCGCGTGGTTCGCCTCCACCAGGCCCTGAAACCATCAAATCCTTACCTGCACCGCCACCAGCACTCTTTTGCCGCTATGCGAAAGACCTTCAGAAAAACCCGTGGCGGCCTCTTGGCAAAGCATTCTCGCGCAGTGGGACTCACTCTTGTCCTGATTGCCACATTCCAATCCCGGTCGATACACGCGATGTGTGGGTACTGTCGACGCACTTTCCCAACTCTAGTAGCAACAGTTTGGAGAAGATCAAGAATCGCGATTATCGTATGGATGCGCGATTCGTCGTCAAGTGTCATACAGCAGATGGAAGAGGATATTTTGCGTGCGTGCTTTGCGACAAGTGGAGGGATATCGACTGTATTTGTCGTGACGTCGATGCGCTAGTCAAGCATCTTGGTACAGCACACACGCCAGACGAGTTTGAAAAAGACAGTGATTTAGTACGAATGAAGGATGGGAGTATAGTGAAGAGTAGCACGGGAAGGGAAATGGCCCTAGCTTAATTTTAGACATAAGTTCAGGCATTAGTCGAAGGTAGTATTATAATGTCCTAACCCTAAGCGTAATAATCCCTAAAAGAAATTCGATATACTTTCTAGGCTAGACGTGTTAGACGTTCCATTTATATATAAAAACTATAATATAAACAAAAAAAGAGATATCTCTAGCCTAGCTACTAAGCTAGCTAGGTATAAAGTGCTAGATATTAAATAACTATCCTTAGATTACTAGGCGGCGCTACGTCCTAGCAACTAATCTAAAAATAGCGAGTTATCGATATTCTATAATTTAATATCTATTTGATTTATATAATACTAATAATATTAGACTTAGTAAATCCTATAATTCTTACTCGTTAAATAATTAAGAACAATAGACCGCTTAGTATAGTATACTATGATTTTATAGCGCTTTTATATAAGATATAGTATAGATAAGTATATTAGTAATTACTAGATAGGGAGAGATTAATGTCCTATAGTCTATAGTATTATTTAAGTATTTTAGCTGTATTACTATATAGTCCTTTCTTTTGCTAATAGAAATATCTAGGTATATTGTATTTTTTATTAACGAAAATCCTTTCCTTATACTTCTTATTACTATATATAATCTCGCTAAGTTAAAGAAAGGTTACGGTTACTAGTAATATAGTAATAGTAAGGTTTGGACTATTATAAAAGTATAGTATTATAATAATAAATTCTAATAAATTCTAGAGTTATAAATAACTATATTATCTTAGACTATATATAAATTATCTTATTAAAATAGATCTAGCCTTTAATATAGTCCCTATTACCCTCTACTATATTAAATATACTATTAGGACTTATAGTATCGATACAAATCGATATACTCCTTTAAGTCCTTAGAAGCTATATATCTAATTACGCTTTTATAAAGCTATATATCTAGATCTTGTCTTTTCTTAGCGTCCTAGTATATAATATTATATATACTAGTATTATTAGGATTTTCTTTACTCCCTTTACTAGATATTTAGATTTATTTATCGGTATCTTTTTAATAAAAAGGACCTCTAATAAAGATAGAGACCTCCCTACTACCCCTAGATATCTTTCTACTACTATACTTAATTATCTAATAGATATCTAGATTTAAATAGTACTTCTAAATAATCTTTACAATTATCGCTTTTAGTATATCTATATATATACGTTACTTACTAAACGATAGCACTATAGTAAGAAGGCCTCTAGGCATCTTAGTATACTAGAGTCTATCTAGACAAACTCGCGAAGATCTAGGATACTACTTAGAGGTATAAAGGAGGTAGACGTCCCTAGCTTCTATTAACTAGCTCCTCTAGCCTAAGAAAGCCCTAACCTACCCTAAGAGAGAGCTAGGCTAGGGTCGGCATTTAATTAGAAAAAGAGAACTACTAGATATAAGAGAATATAAACTCTTTAATCTAAGAAATAAAGGCCGCTACCTCTTACCCTAAGGGCCTAGCTAATAAATAGGTAGCCCCTCTCTCCTCCCTTCTCTAGAGATATATAACTACGATCCTCTACTACTAATAGAACGCGATAGTAGTATAGTTAATAAAAGACCTTAGCGACTACCTACGAGAACAGAAACCTTTCTATAGGGGCTAGTAGCTAGTATCTTAGGTATAGGTTACCTTTTAGGCTAGCTACCGCCCCTCCCCTAGCCTATATCCCTTCTATAGGAGGTATACGTAGTATACGTAAAAGTAGGGGATACCTTAAATAGAGAAAAGACCCTTAATAAGAGCAATATAGAACTCTTAAAGGAGATAGTAGACCCTAGAGTAATTAGGGTTAGGAAACAAGCTAGCGGAGATATTACTATATTTAGAATATTCTAAATAGTAAAAGCCTAGCTCTAGAGGAGTAGGGAATAGATATAAGAGATATCCCTAAGATAACAGATCTTATAGGCAGCCTACTAGATACTAGTTTATAGGTTATATATAAGAGACTATAGCCCTAAAAGGGAGGAGACTATAGAAAGATTCTAGGAAGATAATACTAGATAGTACCCTAACCTTAAAGTAGGAAGAGCCTTCTAGCTAAAGAGCCCTAAGGCTAGGGAAGGACAAATATACTCCTTAATAGTACTCTATATATAGAGAGCTAGCTAGGTAGAAGATATTATAAGGAAGGGACTACTAGTCTAAGGAACTATCCTCCTAGTAGAACCCTTTACCTAGTAATAAAGGATAGTATAGTACCTAAAATACTAGAGGTTTATATATATAGCTAAATAATATTAATAGGGGTTAGGTATACGGAAAATACGTAGAGGACTGTAGAATAGACAGATACCCTAGTAGTAGGCATATATATAGCAACTATAAAGACAGCTACCTTACCTAGTCTAGGGTATATAGCGTAAAGCTAGGTATATAAGTAAAGGCAAGAGGATTTAGAAACGTAATACTAGAGAAGTTTAGAGGGATATAGAGGAGCTAAGAAGACTAGATACTAATATAAAGTTAGAAGAGGCGAGCCGAATCCCTAGGAAAGTAGAGGAGAGAGACCTGTTAGGATACCTAAGAGAGAAGATCATAAAGAGACTAATAGGCACTATAAGTATAAAGAAGTAAGGAGATACCTAGACTAATAAACTTAGCTTCTATTATACTAACAGAGGATAGTAGAGAGGGAAGATAAACAAATAGTAGACCCTCTACTATCCTCTAATATTAACTATCCTCTATATTATAATATATTATCTAGTATAATATAAACTATAGCGTAAACAAGGTATAGAGAGCCTTCCTCTAATAAATAGACCCGAAGGAGGATAATATTCTAGCAATATAGGAGTCCTAGATTAATATAGCTATCGGAAATTTCAAATAGAGCTAAACACCTAGGCTTCTATATTATCGTCCTATACGGCCTAGACCCTAGAGTAGCACTCTATATCTCTATAGAAATATAGGAGGCATTATAGGAGCTAAGCTCTTAGTATAAAAACCTACTATTAGTCGGTATAGGGATAGAAAACAATAGAGATACTATCTATTACTACTACTTATAGTATAGGCTATCTAGAAGCACTAAAGTAATAGCTAAGTCCTAGTAGGTAGCTTTAACCTTTACTATATAATATAGGGAGGCTACCTAGACTAGAGCTAGCACTACTACGTAGACAACCTTATTAGAATTGTAAAGGAGAATAGTATACTTCTTACTATATAGTAGAGGGGATAGTAATATAGGAGAACTAGAGGAGCGTAGGGACCCTTAACCGTGTATTCATTACCTAGTAGGGACTTAGCTAATACTAGGTTAATAAATATAGAGAGATAGGATTATACTATAAGCTAATCTCTATAAGGATATAGAAGCTAGAGAAGGAACAGAGAGACTAAATACCGAGACCCTAGTAGAAAAAAGCCGACTAGAAGGCAGTTAGAGAAGACCTCTAGTAGAAGCTCCCTTCCCTACCCTAAGGACTATTTAATACAATAGAGTAGGTTAAGAAGGCTATAGTAGGAATATAGTTAGCAATATTAAAGTGCATTAGTAACACTATCCTACTAGTAAGGCTATCTAGCTTTATAAAGATATCCTAGACAAAAGAGTATAGTAGAATAGTTAGCTATATACGCTATCTTAGGAGAGAGCAGATAAAGTATAGGATAGAAGAGAACCGTAGGGCGTACCTAGTAGCTATATATACTACGGGCAAACAGATTTAGAAAGACACTAACCTAGTATAGAGAAGAGCTATAGAGCAGTACCCTAATATATAGAAGTTAGCTCGCTAGGTAAGGGAGAAGAAGGGAGAAAAAATAGGCCCTCCCTAATTCCTATTACTCTAGTCGATAGAAGAAGGGTATATATATACTAACGAAGGCAAAGCAGATATACTAGCTAAGCACTTCTTTTTTAGGCTAAGGGAGGCTAAGCTGTTAGATATCGTAGAGGAACTACTACCCTAAGAGAGGATCTAAATAGATATATTAGTCTCCCTAGAAAAGATTACCTAAGTCCTTAAGAAAATAGTACCTAACTTAGCCCGAGGACTAGAGTAGATTACTAATAGGGTTAATAAGGAATATAGGCAGATCTTAGCCCTATACCTAGCACTACTATTTATAGTATATATCTAACTTAGCTACTACCTAAAGGTATTTAAGAAGTTAATTATAGTAGTTCTTAAGAAACTATAGAAACTAGACTACTTAAAGCCTAGTATATATAGGCTAATTGCCCTACTAAATACCCTACCTAAAACCCCTAAGGCAATAGTAGTAGAAACAATCTTAAAGTAGGTTAAGGAGAAGGGGCTACTACCTAAATTACAAATAGGAGCTAGGCTAGAAAGGTCTATAATCTTAGCCTTAGATCTAGCTATATAAATAATAAAAACAGCCTAGGAGATAGAGAAGTTATATATAGTCTTAATACTCTAGCTAGATATCTTAGGAGCCTTTAATAATATATTATTATACGAGAGACTCCTCTATAATATTAAATAAAAGGGATTCCTAGAAGAAATCTGCCTCTTTATATAGTCCTTCCTCTACGATAGGAGGATAAAGCTTAAAATAGGACAATTTATAGATAGAGAAAGACTATAAGAGATAGGTATCCCCTAGGGCTCTACCCTCTTACCTATACTATTCCTCCTATTTACCTCTATACTCCTCCCTAAACTAGAGGGCCCTTAGAAAATAGTTATAGGATTTGTTAATAATACTAATATTATTATATATAGAAAGTCTATAGAGTAAAACTGTTAGAGGCTTAAGGAGGCCTAGAAAGAGTATATAGAGTAGGTAAGGAGGGATAGAGTAGCATTCGCCTCCTAGAAGTACTAACTTATCTACTTTATAAGGAATAGGAGGAAATATAACCTATAGGCTACTATCTAGATCCTAGGATACTAAGTATAACTAGAACTTAATATTAGACTCCTAGGTGTCTAGCTAGATAGTAAGCTTAAATAGGGGCTATATATTAGAGAGGCCTAGAAGAGGGGCCTTACTAATATATAGTCCCTCTAGGGACTATATAAGTTAATATAGGGTACTAGCTTTTAGAGAG